TAGAGGAGGGGCAACAGCTGAGGAAAAGAAAGCCTGGTTTCCCCAATGGCAAGTCATGCCTGACTAACCTAATTGCCTTCTATGAGGAGATAACTGGCTCTGTGGATGAGGGGAAAGCAGTGGATGTGTTATTCCTTGACTTTAGCAAAGCTTTTGATATGGTCTCCCACAGTATTCTTGCCAGCAAGTTAAAGAAGTATGGGCTGGATGAATGGACTATAAAGGTGGATAGAAAGCTGGCTAGATTGTCGGGCTCAACGGGTAGAGATCAACGGCTCCATGTCTAGTTGGCAGCTGGTTTCAAGCGGAGTGCCCCAAGCATCGGTCCTGGGGCCGGTTTTGTTCAATATCTTCATTAATGATCTGGAGGATGGCGTGGACTGCACTCACAGCAAGTTTGCAGATGACACTAAACTGGGAGGAGTGGTAGATACGCTGGAGGGTAGGGGTAGCATACAGAGGGACCTAGAAAAATTAGAGGATTGGGCCAAAAGAAGCCTGATGAGGTTCAACAAGGACAAGTGCAGAGTCCCGCCCTTAGGACGGAAGAATCCCATGCACTGTTACAAACTAGGGACCGAATGGCTAGGTAGCAGTTCTGCAGAAAAGGACCTCAGGGTTACAGTGGACGAGAAGCTGGATATGAGTCAACAGTGTGCCCTTGTTGCCAAGAGGGCTAACGGTATTTTGGGCTGTATAAGTAGGGGCATTGCCAGCAGATCGAGGAACGTGATCGTTCCCCTTTATTCGACACGGTGAGGCCTCATCTGGAGTACTGTGTCCAGTTTTGGGCCCCACACTACAAGAAGGATGTGGAAAAATTGGAAAGAGTCCAGCGGAGGGCAACAAAAATGATTAGGGGTCTGGAGCACATGACTTATAAGGAGAGGCTGAGGGAACTGGGATTGTTTAGTCTGCAGAAGAGAAGAATGAGGGGGAATTTGATAGCTGCTTTCAACTACCTGAAAGGGGGTTCCAAAGAGGGTGGAGCTTGATTGTTCACAGTGGCAGCAGACAGAACAAGGAGTAATGGTCTCGAGTTGCAGTGGGGGAGGTTTAGGTTGGATATTAGGAAAAACTATTTCACTAGGAGGGTGGTGAAGCACTGGAATGGGTTACCTAGGGAGGTGGTGGAAACTCCTTCCTTAGAGGTTTTTAAGGTCAGGCTTGACGAAGCCTTGGCTGGGATGATTTAGTTGGGAATTGGTCCTGCTTTGAGCAGGGGGTTGGACTAGATGACCTCCTGAGGTCCCTTCCAACCCTGATATTCTATGATTCTAATCTGACCTCCTGTCTAACACAGGCCATAGAATTTCATCCATTTACTCCTGAACTGAGCCCAGTAACTTGTGTTTGGCTAACATAAATCTTCCAGAAAGGCCTCCACTCTTGATCTGAAGAGCTCAATAGAGAGAGAATCCACCACTGCCTTCCCTTGGCAGTTTGTTCCAATGGTTACTCACCCTCGCTGCTACACATTGTGCTAACTTTATCTGGCTTCTAATGACAGCTATTGCTTCTCATGTCTTTCTCTGCTAGAGTAAAGAGCCCTTCAGTACTTGGTCTTTTCTCCCCATGAAGATACTCTCACATGCGAATCAAGTCACCTCTTAATCACCGTTTTGATAAACTAAACAGACTGATCTCCGTTAGAGTCCCACTTAATCCTCCAAGTCACGAACTTCCTGCACCCCCAGAGGGTACAATCACCCCTCTCTCCTCCCAATCCTTTTCTGCCCACAAACAAACCAGCCCTAGGAAAACTCTGAGTGAACAGAACATACTGGGCTTGGAAAAGCAGGACCCTCCAGTCAGCTGTTTTGAGCTTTAGGACGTTGGGCCTCTTCTCATAGTCTGTTGCCTTTGATGCCAATGCATGGTGCACGCTAACTGCATTTTTCAGATCCTCCTCGGACAAAGCCTTTTCTGGTTTATATTCATCCTGCAGTAATTAAAACGAAAAGATGGCAGAAGTTATTTCAGGTTGTTCATCTCTTCCTTTAACCTAACAAAGGCAATACAGTCATGTTCCAGAAAGGGCCAGCAGCAGTGATTATAAAAATATCAATTTAACCTAATCTGTCCTATAAACATTTCCATTTTCGGTTCTTAAAACATTACCTTTTAAGATTCTTTAATATCTCTGCAAGGAAATGAAGGAATTCCACCACCTTCCCGACAAGAAGAGGGAAGAACAGTAAGTGTCATGAAGAAGTTAAATAAATCCTAGAGGGCTAAATTCCACAGTGTTCTTAAGTCATAGCCCAGACCCTGATTTTGGATCTCACGTGGTGTCGAACCAGTGTAAAATCAGAATCAATTAAAAAACCAGCATTCTAAATACAATCTGAGACCCAGCAGTGTTGTAAAGTGAAGCTGCAAAGACATTAGTCAACCAGGTGTGCATCCGTATGCAATAACATGTGAAGGTGGCACAGCCAGCCCAAAATAGGGCATTCCAGAGGCATGTCAAGGGACAAGTCACCTCCTGGCAATGCTGCAGTGGTGTAAGTTTACACAAAGTTGCTTAAAGAGAATTTGCAACTAGCACTTAACCTCTATCCATCCCTAACCTATGACCACATGATGTTGATCAATCTTGATGTCAGATATGCCTCGTTAGGACTCCGGGTGCTGAGCAGGGTGAAGTGTGGCTGCCACATAATGGGGATCTAATGTTTAAGGGGGAAGAATACGCTCTGGCCGTGGGTGATCTGTCTCCAGGATTATCAAACACTACTGGGCAGAGATCTAGTAGGCAGACCTGCTCTAGGAATGACAATGCAGGGGGCAGCAATGCTTTAAACGGAGGCTCCGCTAAGGAACTGACTCATTGGAGTGCCTTGCACTAGGTCAGATCCTAGGCAACTCC